GGAGAGGCCCCGTCACTCATCTGGAAGGTGGCCATCATCTCTTCCTTGAATGCCGCCACCTCCGCATCCTTGGTGCCGGTGATCACCAAGTCGTCGACGTAGACACCCACCAGCGGAGCATTTCCTCCACTACCCCGTCGGTAGATGGCCGCCTCGTGTGGGCTTTGCTCAAAGCCCATCCCCTTTAGCATGGAATACAGCTTGGCATTCCACGCCCTCGATGCCTACCGCAAGCCATAGAGGGACTTGCGCAGGCGGAGCACCTTGCCCTCCTTGCCGGGGATCGCAAATCCCAACGGCTGGTGCACGTAGACCTCCGTCAAGTCGCCGTTAAGGAACGCCGACTTGACGTCCATGTGATGAACACGCTAGCTCTCCTGGGCAGCTAGAGCAAGGAGTCGCACGGACTCCGTCCATGCCACGGGAGCAAAGGCGTCGTCGAAGTCAACCACCTCCTGCTGCACGAAACCTCGTGCCACCAAGCGAGCCTTGTGCTTGACGATGGCACCGGCTTCATCCCTCTTCAGCTTGTACACCCACTTAAGGGTGATCACGCGGTGACCATGAGGAAGCTCAGCAAGCTCCCAGGTGCGGTTCTTCTCAACCGCATCCATCTCCAACTGCATGGCGGCGCACCATGCCGCGTGTCTCTTGGCCTCTGCAAACGACCGAGGCTCGCCGTCGTCACACGCAAGGTGCAACTGCTCCTCCAGGTCGTGAGGCACCGGTCCCGGCACCGGCTGGTCGCCGAGAAGGTTCTCTGTCGTACGGTACCGCAACGGCTCGCCGTCGTGGTACGCGTCGATGCGCTCCTTGTCGTGAGAGAGCGGAGTAGCAAGCCGAACCGGGCTGTGCTCGACACGAGCTGGTGGTGGAGTAGACGTGCCCGGAGTGGTGCCTGTCGGTGCTGGAGTGCGTGGCGTTGCCGGCTGGGGTGGAGCCGACGAAGAACTCATCGCGGCCGAGGTCCTGGCTGGAGAGCGTGGTGCTGTCGGAGTAGCAGGCGCCAGGGTCGGTGGAGGCTCGGGGACTGGGGTAGACGCGCTCGCCGAAGAAGAGCTGCCTACTCACCCAGCTCCCTCGAAGTGAACGTACTCGACAGTGAAGTCATCGTATGTCGGAGCCGAGCCGTCGTCCACCGCCTTGTCCCACGCCCATCCTCGCCCTTCGTCGAACACAACGTCACGCGCCATGTGCACACACTGTGTCTTCGGATCGAGGATGTGGTAGGCCTTCGAGCCCTCCGCGTAGCCGATGAACACTCCTGGAGTGCTCCTACCGTCGACCTTGCTGATGTGGCCAAGCAACTTGGCGAACGTGAGGCAGCCAAAGACCCGCGAGTGGGAGACCTCCGGCTTGCGCCCATGCCAAGCCTCGTACGGTGTCCTGCCGTCGAGCGCCTTGGTAGGCGAGCGGTTGAGGATGTAGACGGCCGGCACCACCGCCTCTCCCCAGAAGATAGCCGGCATCCCCCTCTGCTTGAGAAGGGCCCGAGCCATCTCCACAACCGTCTGGTTGCGCCGCTCGACGACGCCGTTCTGCTGTGGGCTATACGGCGCGGAGTAGTGACGCTGAATGCCCTCATCAGCGCAGTACGACGAGAATTCAGCCGCCGTGAATTCGCCGCCGTTGTCGGTGCGCAGCACGCGCAGCTTGCGGCCGCACTCCGCCTCCGCAGCAGCCTGCAAGCGCCTGATGGCGTCCGTAGCCTCTCCCTTGCTGCCGAGGACCATCACCCACATGTAGCGGGAGAGGTCGTCGACGAGCAGCAGGAAGTAGCGTCGTCCTCCCGGTGTGGCCAGGGTCACCGGGCCACATAAGTCCCCATGCACAAGCTCGAGCTTCTCCTTGGCTCGAAAGCTCGCTCGCTGGGGAAAGGGGAGTCGCCTCTGCTTTGTCAACACGCAAACGTCGCAGAGCTGCTTTAGGGCCTCGAAGTGAAGGTGCCCGAAGCGCTCGTGCCACTGCCACGCCTCGTCGTCCCGACGAGCAGCGAGACAGAGGGGTTGTGCCACCTGCACGTTAAGGACGTAGAGTCGATTTGCGCTTCTGGATACCTTGGCTAGAAGGCGACGACGGAGATACCAAATCCTCATGACTCCATCCTCAACCACCACGCGCGAACCGTTCTCATCTAGCTGTCCCAAGCTGATGATAGAGTCCTCAACGCGGGGATGTAGTAGACTCCGGTGAGCAGCCTGTGCTCACCAGACACGGCGGTGAAGATGACGGAGCCGACGCCCTTGATCTCCACGCCGGAGGCATCCCCAAACTTGACGGAGCCTCGTACACTAGTTTCAAGCTCGGTGAAGAACTCCCGTCGACCGATCATGTGATGGGTGGCACCGGTGTCGAGGCACCACCCGTCAGTCTTGTCGTTGCCGGAGCCGTCGCCGAGGAGGGCGTGTGCTTTTGGCTCGTCAAGGTGGAGGAGAGCCGCTGTGGCTGGTGCCGCTGGAGGTAGCTCGATGCTTGCATGTGCCATGAACAGAGTCGGCTCCTCCTCCGCCTGTGCGACGTGGGCCTGGCCGCATCGTGGCTGTCGACAGTCCTTGGCCCAATGGCCAAGCTGGCCGCACTTGCGGCAGGTGTCGTCTCGTGCCGGCTTGTGCTTGCCGGCGGTGCCGCCCTAGGCACCTCCGCGGGCATCACCTTCGGCACGTCCTCGTGCTCCGGCCTGGGCGTCTCTGCGCGCCTTGCCACACTTGCGGCCGCCTGTCGCGGAAGAAGGCTCCCCCTTCTTTCGGTCACCTTGGCAGGCAGCCCACTGCTCCTGAGTGAGAATGAGCTTCCGGCCAGTGGTGATGGGCCCCGAGAGAGACTGTGGCTCATCGCTGTCGACAACCTTGAGGCGACCTATTGCCTCCTCGATCTACATCGTGGAGAGATCCAGCTAGGACTCGATTGAGCGAGCCATCTGCTTGTACTTCTCGGGGATGCAGCGGAAGAGCTTTTCGATAGCTCTCTCCTCGTCGTGGGTGTCATCGCCGAACTGCACCATCTTCTGCAACAGAGTGTTGAGACGGAGAGCAAATTCATCAACGTCCTCACCTGGCTTGAAGGCCAGGTTCTCCCACTCCTTGCGAAGTGCCTGTAGTGTGGACTTGCGGGCGCGGTCGCTGCCGATGCGTGTCGCAGCGATGGCGTCCCAAGCCTCCTTGGCAGCCCGCTTGTTGGTAAGCGAGAACTGCATCTCGGGCGGGACTGCAGCGATGAGGGCATCCAGCGCCCGTCGATCCTAGTCGTATTCGACGTCGCCGTACCGGATTGCCTCCCACATGTGCCGCACCTGGAGCTTTACCCTCATCACCGCAGCCCACTCGACGTAGTTGGTCTTAGTGAGGGTAGGCCACCCACCGCCGGGGCCGACATCCCTGACAACAGCCTGGAGCCCGTGGTAACCACGGTACCGATCCGGGGAGAGAGAGCCACGCTGCCTGTGAAGGTCACGCTCTCCATCGACCCGTCCGCCACCATTGCCGTGCGCGCCTCCTCCAGGAGCAGCGGCGGCGCGTCCGCGCCTGTCTGGGCTGCCGCCACGCTCGTAGGCGTGCGCGACTGCCCACTGCGCCGCCCGCGCTCGTCCTGCCTCCCTCCCCAGCAGCTCGAGGTCCGTGTCGGCGCTGTCGTCAGCAGAAACGGAGCTGCTGATGCTGCCGCGCAGAGCCTCGACCTCTGCTGCCGCCGCACGCGCTGCATCTGCCGCCGCCACTGCTTCCGCCTCCGCTCTGGCTGTTGCCAGCTCCGCCGCTGCTAGCCTCGACGGCCTTGCCGCCGCCGCAGCGGTCTCTGCCGCCGCTCGCTTGCGTTCCTCTGCCGCGGCAAGTTCGGTTCGGCCTCCTGCCGACGCCGCGTGCTCGAGGCGACCGAGCGCTGAGACTGCCCTGCGGACATGACGCGCTACCGGGGGGCTGCTTTATGGGGAGAGGGCTGCTTCAGACGCGCAGAGGGAGAGGAGTGAGCAGGAGCGGCCAGAGCTGCTACTGCTCCCAGCTGGGGCTGTTGCGAGGCCGGGAAAGGAGATGAGCAGGAGATGCTCAAGCTACAGGATAGTACGGCTCTGATACCAGTTGTTAGTCGCTGAATTCTTACTCTTGGTAGTAGCAGAATTCTTACTCTCATCGAGAGAGGATGACACTAGGAGTTGAGGCAGTTTTCTGATTTATTTCTCACACAAATGCCATGCCAACTTAAGGGGTTGCGGATACATATTTATAGGCTGCTAGCCAGCCAAGCATATGCCAAGATACTAGTCCTAGATGCTAGTCTTAGATGCTAAGATGTTGTCCTCCTAGATGCTAAGATGCTGTCCTCCTAGATGCTAACATGCTGTCCTAGCTAGTAAAGGATGCTGTCCTTGATGGGTAGCAAGACCACAATGCTGAGCCTCACAAAGACCAGCCAACACAGAGACTTATCCATCACACAGGCCTGAGTAAGCAGATTCAATGGTGTCATCACTAATCAGTAGATGCAGAAACAACAAATAAAATGTCAAATGCACTACTTTAACTATAAGAGATTATGTTATAGCATTATACGGGTACTTTTCTATGGATTTTAGGTCTATTTGCCTTTATTTATAGGCACATACCTTTAGCCCAAGCAATGTTCCTAACAGTAGCATTTTTTTATGGCGATTTCAATGCATAATAATTCAATAAGTTGAATCCATGCAGGCCTAAACTCTAAATCAAGCATTGATGAGTAAACTACAGATATGCTAACCGACATGAGAATGCATGTTTATGTCTATAACCAACTTGTATATGTATTGAGTTTGTATTCAAGATACAGAATTAATGGAAGTGAACACAAATGAGGATGCTAGTGCTACCCATCCAGTTGTCTATGCAAAACCTGTTATTACAATTACAGTTTTTGCATAGGTAAATAAAATTAAGATTAATAACATGAGTACAGAATTGTAGGACTTATTAAGTTATTATGCTCTTAAAAGTGAAGTTGTGCATTGAATAACAAGAGTAACTATGACAAACCAAAAGGCTTGATTGATCTCCTTCTTCATATCCTTCTCAGAAGGAAGCCTCCCCCTAAGAACCCTTCTGATTTTGTCCTTATGCTCATTAACTCTGCATTTTACAATCCAAAAGTTAAATGATTTTTTTAATAATATGAAGAGGGAATGAGTAACAACATACATATAAAATTGATAATACATAAAACAAAAGGAGAAAGGAACGAAACATGCATCTCATTGAGCTTGTACTTGCTGCTTTCCAATGCATCCTTCTTCAAACCCAGTTTTACTCTTTCATCAGCATTTCTATTTATTGTATCTTTCTCCCGCTGAAGTACTTTTATTTTCTGATCCAAACTAAACATTTCTGTTCGTTTCTGATTTATAATTGAATCATAGTCTCTTTCTCCGAGGGCAAGTGTCTTCCTCTCAACTTCAATTTGCTATTTGAAAGAAAATAAAACAAATTACTTACAAAATTAAGAAAACTCCATACTCCAAAGAGAAAGTAGAGAATGTAAAGGAATGCAGGTGCCAAGTATGCAAGATCCATTAAACGCCAGTCTCTCTAAGCGGTTGATGAAACCGAAGGTTTCAAAAGATCAAATCGCATTGGTAATCGCGGCGATTCTTCTCTGCCGCCACCGAAGTTTCTCGAGAGGATCGGCCTCGAACACCCAATTTCTCAAACCAAATCAAATTTACAAAACGGTGATTCAAAATGGTACTGACTTCACACAAGCCATCCTGGTAGGAACCGGATGCAAACCAACCAGATTCATTCGCACATTAACAAAGACAAATCAAAACCACTCGCATGTAATACCGTAAACCAAAGCTAAGAAACCGATCTCGAGATTCAAAATTATGAAATCTTTGTCGACTTCCAATATTTTTGTATAGAATTGGAAGCAAACAAATGAACTTTTCAAAACAGCCAGCATATCCGGCAGTAAAACAAATACCATATGTCTCTCCTCTCTCATCAATACGGGCGATTAAGTTTTGAAAGCTCCACTTCTATGACATCACGCTCTTTCTCTTTATCTTTTCTCCGTCTTAAAATGCCCGACTGAAAATTACTCAATATATTAGGAAATGGTGCCTAAAATATAAGTTATGGAAGAGCCCTCTTTGGTGTAGGGAAGTCCAATGTTCTTTCCATCACTAACCATGGATTCGGTCTTAGATTGTATCTGACCATCAACTTCAGAGTACCGAGCATTTATTTTAAGATAGCGTTTCCACAAAACATCTAACTGATCTTCATTGGATTTCTGCTCAAGAAAAGAGAACAGCCATAATTAGTAAGTACTTTTTAATAATGAAACCTGAATGTACAGGGACAGATGCTTTTAATAATGAAATAAAGTAGCATCCTTCCTCATTAAAAATCACTTCACATATGAATTGTGCATCCAACCACTGAAAAGACAAGCGAAAAAGAGAACTCAACTGCAAACGAGAAGGGTGCAGAATAAAGCAGGTGTGCAATGTGGATAACTCAATACAAATTTCATTTTTAGAATGGTTTGGTAAAAGTATACATCAGAAGCAATTCTAAAAAGAAGAGAGGAAACCTTCTTCTCCTGCAAATCATTCTCAAGATTTGAGAGTCTCACTTTAATCCTGTTTGTAAGGTCCATAGCAACATCATTCGTAAAGGGAGATTCAGGAACCGGCCCAAGATTATGTTTAGTGAATATATTTTTTATGTCCATATCTCGTTCATCCTTCATATTCTGGTGAGCCTGAAAACAATAAACACGAATTAAACTCCACTATAGTGAACAAAAGAAAGAGAAATGTCAGCAGGTAAACATGGAAGAAAGGATTACATCAGCTTCTGCCTGGAGCTTTCCTATTTCATGTGTTAATTCAGAATATTGTTTGGACAGACGGGAGCTATTTGATGCTTCATCTTCCATATCTCTTCCAAATTTACTGATTTTTGTTTCTAGTAATGCAATCCTTTCTTCAAATTTTGTTTGCCATTCCATTAGTTCCTCATCAGTATCTAAACAAAACAATATTCAGCTGTTATCATGTTGGGGAAAACTATTGGACACGAGGGAATACTAGTGGTTGAACTTTACCTTCATTTTCCTCAGAAAGTGCAGCATACTGTTGCTGCTGAAGCGTAAATAATGTACTTCTCTCCGTTGCCTTGGTGTTAATTTGCCCCTGAAGTCTTCTCAATTCATCCAAACGTGTTTCCATTTGCAGGATTTCACTCTCGGTACCACGGATCTTTTCCTTCAGTTGCTCCATCTGAGATTGAGGCATCTGACTTTTCTTGATCTTGAGCAATATTTTCACGCAGCTGCAAAGGTAATTGGAATGAATGGAACAGTTCTACCTCTAAACTAAACTTCACTGTTATGAAAATGCTACAGTAGATGGATTAGCATAGAGACCCTGGATAGCCGCCGTTCCTTGGGGATTATCTTAGGGTTTCTTCTTGCTTGACTCTAACTAATACATGATGGTTCCTTTTATAGAGACAACTTACTTGACCCCTAAGTAATATCCTAACCGAACCAATCTATCTTATTCCTTTCCTAACAAACCAAATCAATCTAATCTAATCAAGTCGGGTACTGTCCACGTGGTACAGTGCGCGTGGGCCCCCTGGGCCGGCTTGACCTGCCATAACATCCACATATGTGTAAAATGTGTTCAGCTTTGCTGTAAGAAATCTGTTGTTAAACAAACACCATTTTTTTCAAAAGAACTACCTTGAAATGGAACTGAGCTGAAAGAAATAGGAGTAAGAACAAGTGGATTAACAGAAGAGACAACTCAATAACAACAGTAACCATCAGTACAACACTATGTCGGTCTCTACAATTTAGAATAGGAAACAGAAAACGGAAATATGGAAGAATGCAGAGCTAACTTACATGTGCAAAACTGCAAATAATGTAGAATTGAATCAGTTTGCCATCAAACTAATTCCCACAAGTTAAGAAATAAGATTTTACTATTTTCCTGTCAAACATATTCACAAATTTGTTTTAATTTGTCCATTGTCAAATATGCAAATTGTTTAAAAATTATCAAATATTCAGAATAATTTAGAATCTGCTAAAGTACTCATAAATTAAATAAATTTTGATTAAGATTCCAAGGGTAAAACCTACAGGCTAAAATATCGCAAACATTTTTGGTCCGGAGGCACAAGTCATGTGACCCCTTATTGCCCCTAACAATTCATCTTCAAAGAAATGTTATTATTATATGTTGTATCAAAGAATCACAAGACCAATCCTAACAGAATAGCAAAGTTTACATATAACAAAAAGAGAAATTACAATGGCACAATCAGATGCTAGTGTGGTGGAATATGAACATGATAAAGTGGCAAAAAACATCCGGCAAAAAACATGCATAAGCAAACACATAGAAGAAAAGAGAGGAGGAGAGAGAGAGAGAGAGAGAGAGAGAGAGAGAGGGAGGAGGAGGAGGAGGAGGAGAAGTGGCAATCTAGAGTTCTAGACTAGTGTCATGGGTGGCCGGAGGGGCAGCCCACCTGCCTCTCATGGCAAGGGTAAGGATTAGGAAAGAGATTAGATTAGATCAGATTAATTCCTTATTTCTAAAGATTAATTTCTTAGGGATCAAGTCTCCTCTCATCCATATAAGGATGGGATCGTATCTCCTTTCAATCAAGCAATGAAGAAGAATTAATCCAATTTCCCCAAATTACTTTAGTCTCCCTCCACGCCGACTTTGCCGGCCATCTTCATAGCAATGGTTACCCCCAAATGATCTAAGGATCATAACATCTAGTGAAAAAACAGTACCTTATGTGCTTGGTCTTTTACAGTCTGAAGGTTCTCTAGCTTTAACCTAAAAGTCTTGATCTCTTGCATTTGATCCTTGTGAAGTTTCTTTATGACTTCAAGAGCTTTGGTATAGCTGTACTTGAATTTGGAAAATAAGGAATCAGATCATAGTTGTGAAAAATGGCATCAAGTCACTTGACCATGAGCAAGCATTATTTAGGGCTCGTTTGGCCAAGCTCTGGCTCTTCAACACCTGTTACTTTTCTGCACTGCACAGTACTGTGCAGCAGCTCTGGCTCCACTCACAATCAACTGGCTGACAGCAAGAGCCGCTGAAGCCAATATTTTTGGGCTCCCTCAGCTCTGCTACAGTGCATATTTCAAACAGGTGGCGATAGTTTCAACTAAGAAATAATTTGGTGTTGCTCAAAGCTTCTTAAGTATACTAAACAGTATTCTCTCCGTTCAAATTATAGTTTACTTTGGCTTTGTACTAAGTCAAACTTCTCTAACTTTGACCAGGTTTATAGTAGAAAAAAAATGCACAAACATCATCAACATCAAATTAATTTCATTAAATCTACCATGAAATATATCTTCATAGTATATTTTATTTGTATCGTAGATGCTAATATATTTTTCTAAAAACTTGCTCAGTAAAGTTTGACCTGGGACAAAGCTAAAGTGAACTATAATTTGGAATGGGAGCAGTAGAGTACCGGGTGGCAGAGAAGATGTCATCAAACTTCTTAAGTGTTGACGGGTCCTGCAATGGCCAATTGGATTCATCTTGGTGAACAAATATAACATTCTCCAGCACAGCCTTAGAAACACCCATTAAGGCAGGAATCTCTCTATCCATGTCCGCACATCTGTAGCTGAGGCAGACCTTCTGTACTAAAATATAACCAATTGTAAAATTGATGTGTCAATGAATAAACTGAACATTTGACGCCGAAATAGTAAACACTAGTAGAGTGTTAGCGAAAAACAAATGTTGTTCCATAGAACTTACTACAAGTTACAATCAACAACAGTCCCAAACAACAAGTATCAAAATTCCATTGCCTGAAGACATGGATTTCATAATTTATTTGTGCAACCAAATCACCGCTATGTGAATACAAAGATACAAAAGGCAGAGAAGCGTGCTAGATGAAGTTATTTTTATATGACCAAAGACAAACACAAAGAAATGAAAGATACTATATTTCCCTTTCGATACTGGAAATTTTACATGATTCGCAAGATATTTTCATTATTTCATCAATTAAATACCTTTTACATGCATTTTTTCTCAAACATGTAGGAATCTTTTATGTGCATCAACATGACAGGAGAAAAATAGTATTTCATTATGTTTTGACAGAGAACGAACTGAGATCAAACACTTTACCTAACACTATTCGCTAGCAGCAAGTGTGATCTATATAAAGCATATGGGGGCTGGCATGATGTGATACATACCTCTCGTAACTTAGAATATTATCATGACTGTAGCTGGGAACAGAAATTGATGCAATAGTTCCTATTTTGTTAATTTAGTGTCATAAGAAAAATGCAGTTATTTCCATGATGCAATAAAGTAAGGTAGACAGTACACATCACAACGGTGGTGGAGCAAGAGTACCAGTCTGCCAGACAAGCTGGACAGGGGGTCCTAGACTAGACAATAGGTGCTGGATTGATTGAAAATGGATTAGATTAGATTAGATTTGAGGCTTATTTTTCTCTTAGGGGTGATTTTTAGGCTTATGTTTCTCTTAGGGATTCTACCGGCAAGGCCAGTGCAGCAACCCCGGCAGCACCGGTCCTTGCTCCACCCCTGCATTGCAACATGTTGCTGTTTCATGAAGAGTTGTTCAGCTATTTGTTACCCTGGAGTTTTCAAAACAATGCATTGTAAATGTCGCTCTCTCGTAAAACAATTATATGCCAAAGAAAAGATCAACTCCACCTATGGTGGGACGCCTTTGGTGTCCCAGCATAGCAGATCACAAGCTCTGGTAAAGGAGGAGGGTTGTGTTAGGCGCGGCGAGTCAATGTAAAAACTTAGCCACTTTTATGGTGATGAAATCCAAAAGAATCCCGTTGGGGCGTAACCCTCTTAGCGACGCGCCATGTCGGAACCCGGGTATAGTGTTAAATGAGCAAGGGCCGGGTCGTCACCCCCGTGACGCGCCATGTCGCGATCTGGACATTGTGGGGGTATTAACCCCTATACCCTTACGGCTAGGCTTGGGCCGGCCCGGATCAGAGGGTCCGGTCCGCTAAAAGACGACGCGCGGCCCAGCCAACCTGTTCGGAGTTCCGCGCAAGGAGTCAAGACAGATTTGGCGATCAAGCAAGATCTTGATCGGTTAGAATAGGAATCCTTATCTGGCCACCTATGACAATTGTAACTGGCTAGGATTAGTTTCTAGATCTGTAACCCTGTCCCCCGGACTATATAAGGCGGGCAGGGGACCCCTCTAAAAAATCATCTCATTGACATACAGCAATACAATTAGACGCAGGACGTAGGTATTACGCCCTCACGGCGGCCAAACCTGGATAAAACCTCGTGTCTGTCTTGCGTTATCATCTTGTTCGTAGCTTGCGCACCTGTCTGCCGACAATCTACTACCTTGGGCATACCCCTAGGTAGACTACCGACCATATTTCGTCGACAGTGGAGCGCCAGGTAGGGGGTGTGCGTACTGCTCTCCAAGCGAACAGGATGATCATCATCCCCGGCTCCGTGGCTACACCGAACGGCCTCACGTTCACCGTCGGCCAGATCACCTGGACCACTGGCTCTGACGACTTCATCGCCATGATCACGGAGGAGGTGCGGACTCAATCCGCATCGACCACTGCTTCACCTGCATCGGCTACGGCTCCGACCACGGTGGATCTGGCTCCGACCATGGTGAATCTGGCTCCGACCACATCCGCATCGCCTTCAGCCACACCGACAACCCGTCGTCCGCTTCCTCGCTACAAAGGGAAGCAGATCGACAACACCGACCTGCTCGACTCCATCGATCGGGTTGGCACCAAACTTGCCGAAACCCTAGCTCTGGTAAGTTCAATTCAAAGTCAACCTAATGAGCAGTTAACCGCTACCCACAACAGATCTACCCGACCAGCTCGGGCCAGTCGTCCTGCACGACTCGGTACAGATCTCGTGGTCACATCTACTCCTGAAGGGCGCTCCGTTCGTCGCCGGCCAGCCCCTGCGACGGGTCTTCGGCTCTCCGAATACGAAACATGGTCCGGATCACGCAACATGTTGCAATGATCTTGGCCTACGGCCTGCGAAACACTGCTTCCAACTATGTGTATAGTATGCAACGATCTTGGCCAAGATCACGCAACTTCGTCAACATGGTCCGGATCGAGGAGTTCCAAGAAGGATCGGTCCACACAGTTCGAGAGGGTGGCTCAAGCTCCACGTCCAGCACCGCATCTAATGGCTCCATCCACACCGAGCTCCAGCAT